GGTGGTGCACATCTGGAATCCCAGCACTTGAGAGGCTGAGGCAGGAGGATCGTTGCAAGTTTGAGGCCAACCTGGGCTACAAAGTGAGTTCAAGTCTAGCCTGAAAGGCATAGTGAAACCTTGTCTCAGAAAGACCCAATTAAAAAAAAAAAGGCATTGTAACTAGGTGTGGTGGAGCACACTTGCTTTTCCAGCTACTCAGGGGGTTGAGAAATGAAAATATCAAATTCAAGGCCAGTCTGGGCAAGTCAATGAGACCCAGTCTCAAAATAAATTGTTTAAAGGACTGGGGATGGAACTCCCCAAGGAAAGGGGTATGAATATGTGAGGGGGGTATAAAGTGCTTGCCTAGGATGCCTAAGGCCCTGGATACTGCCAAACTAAGTCAGTGCAATAAAATAAAAAAGCCAAGGCTTCACAGTGGGAGAAAGAGCACCAAGAAGATCCAGGCTCTCCTGCTGCTGTCTGCAGCTCAGGCTCTGTCTTTAACCAAAGACTGGCTGAGCAGATGTTTTGACCTTTATTTTAGAAATGCAGATATCTATCACAAAGGAAGTAAATGACTCATTTCCTCTAAGATACTTGAAGGGCTGGTGACACAGCTCAGTGGCACCGTGCCTGCCTGGCAAGCACCAGGTCCTGAGTTCGATTCCTGGTACCAAAAATAAAATAAAACACTTGAAAATTTCAAAACCAATTTTTCTTTAGATGAAAGCATTTTAAGAGCACATGTTAAATTCATGTCTTTAACTAAAATGTATCTGCCACTAATAACTTTTCATCATTAAAAGATTTCCGAGAAAAAAAGACTTCTGGGAGCTGCCAAGGTATTACATCCTCTAGGAAAGCTTAGAATTTCTAACCTTGGGACAAGTTCTGAAAAACTGTGATCTTTCTGGCTAGGTGCTGGTGATGTTCCCAACCCCAGGGAGTGACCAGACCCAGTCCCCAGGAATGCTGCCTCACTAGTTGGATTATGGGGTGTTTGGTTTGTTTGTTTTGTATTGTATTTTTATTCTTTCAATACAGTACTTTCTATGCAGTTTGGACTCATAGTGATCCTCCTGTCTCAGCCTCCCCAGTGCTAAGATTACAGGCATGCTCCACCATGCCTGGTTTTGGTGGCTGGCAGGGCATGTGGTACTGGGGATTGAACTCGGGTCCATGTACTTGCCAGGAAGGCGCTTAGACCACTGAGCTATCTCCCCAGCCCTGTTTCACTATTTTTAATGCTACCATAGTATTCCATCATATGGATATACTATGATTTATTTTTTAAATTCTAAAATATTTTACTCACTAAAATACACAGAAGAATGGGCAAGGCAATGATCCTGAGAATCTCCAGCAGATTTTTTAATCTAGCAGTTAATTGGAAAGATTCTCACCCTAACTAACTATATATACTGAAACCTGTGAACTAAGCAACTGCACTGAAGATGGCAATTTGTAATAGCAGGTTCGTGCTTGGAGTGCCTGTCATTTTGGTCTTCTGAATACGGGCTGCTTGTCATGACATGCCAGTTGCTGCTGTGCTGTCTCTCGGGTAGATGATTGTTCAAAAAGAAGGAGGTGGTGAATGAAGGCAGTAGAGAGGAAAAGGAATGTTGTGGGACTGTCCTGCTTCAAGGTTGTATATGGTTAGATTTTTGGACTTAAGTGTAAACATAAGAAGTATATAATTCTTTATGCCTATTTTTAAAATATATTCTAATTTTTAAATGTATTTTCATCATATTCTATAGGGACTTAAAGTTCAACTTACCAATACTTGATGAAAAATACCTGTTCCATGTTGTGCCTAAGATGTTTGATGTTCAGACAGATAGTGAGGTTAAGCTTAACAGCCTAGGTTGTATGGTAATAACAATAAACTTCTCTTCTGGAGGGTTAACAACCTAGTTTGCAGACCAAAGTTAGAGAAAAAGGAGGGCAACAAGGAAAGCCAACATTTTGGCCCTAGCCTTCCAAGGTCAATTAAGACTCAGGACATAAGAGAACTTGTACTATAATGTCACATAACTCAGTAGTGTCCCAAATTTCTGATCGAGGAGATTATGGGGCCAAAGAGAAAAGTGATCGATGATGTAGAGTGTGCCTAAGGAGAGTCACATGGAGAGAAAACACTCTCTCAGGCCTTCACAGAGAGCACATTGGCCAAGCAATGGCCATGACTCATCCACATGGCTGACACTGACAAAAGATCTACAATCTGAGGTACAGGGTCTCAGGATAAATCCTGAGGGGATTTCACTGACCTTATCAGATCCAAAAGCTACAATTCTTGTTGCATAGGTCTTGCTTTATCTTGGTCTTAACCATCCAGTAGAAAAGTATGAAGACAAAATATAGGAAGTAAAGCCATGATGTTATGTTGAGCTGTAGAGGACTCAAGTCAACAATTTCTGACACTGGCAGTCAAGAGGAAGACCCAATAATATTATGGACTACTGGACTCTTTTAGAATATTTTGCTGAGTTAACACACCTATAATATTCAAATAACAGAACTAAACAAAAAAAGGGGACACAGATGAATGTCCATTTTGTGTCTGTGTATTCAAAATGGTTAGGATAGATACATAGTTACATTCTCTTAGTGAATAGAGGGATTTGTTTTAATAGTGTTTGTAAATAGGATATCATGTCTGCATCTTGTACAGCAATTAACCACTAGGAAGAATGTATGCAATGTGTTAATTATTTAAACTGTCCTACTAATTTGGTTTGAAACTGTCTCATTGCTACTTGTTTCTCAATAAAATTATGGTAAAAAAATAAAATACACAAAAGAACAACCATAATTTATTTAATTTTCCATCTCAAGAATTTGCTTCCCTGGAAGTATACCACTTTCAGTAACTCGTATTTGAGTTTCACTTACAGATTACAGTGTACTGCACATACTTTATTTCATTTGAACCTCACTATCACTCTCTTAAGGTTGGTACCATCATTACTATTTTCTTATTTTATGGGTAAACTAAACAAGCTGATGGGGACTAAATGATTCACTCAATAGCTGACATCCGGTTGATGTCACATAAGGGGCAGCCTTGAAACTGGGCAGCGCTCCTGTGCCAGTGTGGATCATGCCAACAGTGGGAGCAAGAAGAACCATTGAAATGGCCCTGCCAGCTCACCCCACACCCTGGCCCGGACCCCAGCAGTGATCAGAGGCACTGCCCTTTGTTTCAGTTGCCTCCCTTGTGATCTGTACTGTCTGGGGGAGAGTCTGTACCCTCCTGGTCATCATAGAGACATGATAGATACACAGTGAAAGTTTGCTGGGTGAGTGAATGAGTGCAAGAATGAATGGAGGCTGTTGCCAAGTTGAGCAAATCTCAGAGGCTGGGTTTTGATAAATTTCTTTCTCGATCCTCCTATTTTCAGTTCAGACATTTTAACAAGAGCCCATACTGGTGTTTTTGAGTTTTTGTTCTTCTGCAGTTCACTATTGAAACTCTCTCTCTCTCTCTCTCTCTCTCTCTCTCTCTCTCTCTCTCACACACAGAGGGAAATCATGCTTAAAAGCAAGGATGATCCCAAAACTTGGGAGGCTGAGGCAGGAGGATCATTGTGAGCTTGAGATCAGCCTGGGCTACAAAGTGAGCTCAAGGCCAGTCTGAACTGCATAGCAAGACCCTGTCGAAAAGACCCCCCCCCAAAAAAAAAAAGGAAAAAAAGAAAGAAAGAAAAACCAAGGACAAGGAGTCTTTTTGCACACTGGGCTCCCTCCACATTTTCCAGGGGTCCCCACTCTGAGTTACCTCCAAGACATCCCTCATTTGGAACTGCAGTACTTATTTAAGATATGTATCATAGACCTCCATTTGAACTGCTTGTAAAACAGCTTAGCTTCAAAGCCATAGCATCATGTATGAGATTGCTTGAAGCACTATTATTGCTGACTATAAAAGCAGTATTGCATAATTACTAGAAATTTTGAAACAAAAATCATTCACTCAGATCCCACCACCTAGCAAGGCAGCTATTTTTTATTTTGCATAATCCCTTCCAGGTCTTGTCCATGAGCACACATTCATTTTCTTAGTTGTTGTCACTCCGAGCACGCAGCATTGTTTTCTGCTTTCTACAGTTAATTTGATTGTAAGAACATTTTGCCCCATTTATCAGCATAGACTTCATAATTACCTTTTTAATAACTGCATAATCCTCTGTTGAGTTGACACGCCAAAATGTACTCCTACGGTGCCCCAGAGTTTGGCATTACATGGCTTTCCACTCGGGTAATAATGCTGCAGTGAAGATTGTTATCCATTAGCTGAGTGCCTGCTGGCTGCTTTCTGAGGATGCTTTCCCTTGAGCCAGACCGTGGGTCAGAACAGAGCCACGTTGGTGCTTCTTCCCAGGCTTCTTGTCCAGAGGTTGTTCCCATTTATGTCCCTAGCAGTTGGTACTTTTACCAGTTTCAGGGCAACCTCGTTAGTATAGGGAGTGTTTAAAATTTTTATTTGCAAATTTAGTAGGAATGGAATAGTACTTGAGATTTGCTTTATTTTGTATGTCTTTGGTTATTAAAGGAAATTAGCATTTCCCCCTGTGGTTACTCTTTGTATTTCTTTGGACGTAAGTTATCTGCTAACATTTATAGTTCTTTGCCTATTTTAGTAAATTGGGGTCTTGATTTGTTTTTTCTAAGTCAAACTGAATGTAAGAAATCTTTACTCACAGTAGCTATTAAACTTTTTCATATATGATTGATATATTTTCCAGTATTGTGTTTTTCCTTTAATTTTAGATATTTACATTGCAAAATTCTCATTTTTGTAATCAAATCTGTTGATGTTTTTATTTCCTGTTGTTTTGAATCTTAGGAAGCTATACTTTTTCTGGAAAATTGATTAAATATTTAATTCTACCTTATGTTATTTTAAGTTCTTTAATCCATCTGGGTTATATTTACTGTAAATCAAGTGGCAAGTGACATTTTTCCCCTAAATTGTTCATCTTTTTCTGTTCTGTTATTCTCTATCATAGGAATCATACACCAGATGAAAGGTGATTATGACACTGCGCTGAAACTCCACAAGACCCACCTGTGCATTGCCCAGGAACTGAGTGACTATGCTGCTCAGGGCCGGGCCTACGGGAACATGGGCAATGCCTACAACGCTCTGGGCATGTATGACCAGGCAGTCAAGTACCACCGACAGGAGCTGCAGATCTCCATGGAGGTTAACGACCGCGCCTCACAGGCATCCACACACGGAAACCTTGCAGTGGCATACCAAGCCCTAGGTGCCCATGACCGGGCCTTGCAGCACTATCAGAACCACTTGAACATTGCCCGGGAGCTTCGAGACATCCAGAGCGAGGCTCGGGCCCTCAGCAACCTCGGAAATTTCCACTGCTCTAGGGGAGAGTATGACCAGGCTGCTCCCTATTACGAACAGTATCTCCAGCTTGCTCCTGATCTTCAAGACATGGAAGGAGAAGGGAAGGTCTGCCACAATCTTGGTTATGCCCACTATTGCCTTGGAAATTACCAGGAGGCAGTGAAGTACTATGAGCAGGATCTGGCCCTGGCCAAAGACCTTCATGATAAATTGAGCCAAGCAAAAGCCTATTGCAACTTGGGCCTAGCATTCAAGGCTCTGCTGAATTTCAGCAAGGCTGAAGAGTGTCAGAAATACCTATTATCCCTAGCCCAGTCCCTGAATAATTCCCAGGCTAAATTTCGAGCCCTAGGGAACTTGGGTGATATATTCATCTGTAAAAAAGATATAAATGGTGCAATAAAATTCTATGAGCAGCAGCTGGGCTTAGCTCACCACGTTAAGGACAGAAGACTGGAGGCCAGTGCATATGCAGCACTGGGCACTGCATACCGAATGATCCAGAAGTATGACAAGGCCTTGGGTTATCACACACAAGAACTGGAGGTATATCAGGAGCTGAGCGACTTGCCAGGCGAGTGCAGAGCTCATGGGCACCTGGCTGCTGTGTACATGGCCCTGGGGAAATACACAATGGCATTCAAGTGCTATGAAGAGCAGCTGGACCTGGGGCAGAAGCTGAAGGATCCAAGTCTAGAAGCACAGGTCTATGGCAACATGGGTATCACAAAGATGAACATGAACGTGATGGAAGAAGCCATTGGCTATTTTGAGCAGCAGCTGGCCATGCTGCAGCAGCTCAGTGGGAACGAGTCAGTGCTTGACAGAGGCCGGGCGTATGGCAACCTTGGGGATTGTTATGAGGCCCTGGGTGACTATGAGGAAGCTATCAAATACTATGAGCAGTATCTATCTGTTGCCCAGAGTCTGAATCGTATGCAAGACCAAGCCAAGGCTTACCGGGGTCTAGGAAATGGACACAGGTAAAATGACAAGACAATTGAGGTAGACAAACCTCCAAAAAGAGCAGTTGTGAGGGCAAATACTCATCTGCAAATAGTTTATTAACTACAAAGCATTTTTTTGCATATCTCGTTCGATTCCTCCAATAAGTCTTTGAATTAGGCAAGTGATATCATTACTCTTGTGTTCTCAAAAAAGAAAACAATGCCCAAAGAGGCTGGATGAATACCTAAGCTTATACAGCTTAAAAAGCTTAAAAGAGATAGGTGAGAGTTAAACCTTGGGCTCTCTGGCTCCAGATGCAGTGCTTTTATGACTACATTAAAATAAGAAGGATAGAGTTAACAGAGATGGGAAGGTGCATAAATCTCAATAACTGATCTTTTCTGAATACCTTGTATATTTTATGAATATGCTTATTAGTACAACATCGGTACTCTCCAATTACTTGGACCCCCATTGTGTTACTTTTAGAAAAAGCCACCTGATAACTGAGGAAGCAAATAAGCCTGTCCTGTGTTCTATGCATCATGCTAGACTCCTCACATAGGTATCTTAGTAATTTCAACAATCTTGTGTTACTATACAGGATGATCTATCAGCTGCTATGGGATGGGGGATTTATTATCACCAGAAATTGAGGCTTAAGGAAAGAAATGTGTGTGCCTATACAACAGGTTTGGTCTGCTGCCAAAACCCATGCTCTTCCCACTCTGATCATGTCAGCTGTGAGCAGCACAAAAAGACACACTGTCCGCCAGAGGATGCTTTTCTCCCAAATGTGGGGAACTGAAGAAGGTGCCTGTGTCTGCAGAATATATGGCCTTACCAGACAGGCAGGGGATTGGGGCTCCTAGATTGGAGGAAGGGCAAGGGTCAAACTAAATCATCACCCACAGAGTGCTCTATGAAGCTCAAGGTGAAAGATTTATAGCTACTGTAAAGTGATTTCAAAAACATAGTCTAAGCAGTAGTGGAAATTGGGAGGCCTGAAGAACCAAACAGTTCACTTGCTATCATTGTGCCTATTAATATATTTTATGTTTCCTCTGGGGTATATATCCCATTGAATCTCAAGCTCTTGGGAAGGTCACTAAGGGATGACTTTTGAATTGCTTTCCAGATTATGAAATTCCTCTGTATCTCACTCTAAGGGCACATGATAGATTTTAGCTAGAAGAGGAGTTAAGAGCTTCTATAGTAAGTGACAGTGACAAATGCTTTTCATTTTCTCAGGGGCTTTAGCATGTCTGCACCTGCACAAAATAATATCATTGCTTTTCTGTCTACATCCCTACAGGGCAATGGGGAGCTTGCAGCAAGCCCTTGTGTGCTTTGAAAAGAGGCTTGTGGTCACCCATGAGCTTGGAGAGGCCTTCAATAAAGCCCAGGCCTATGGAGAGCTGGGAAGTCTGCACAGCCAATTAGGGAATTATGAACAAGCCATTTCCTGCCTTGAACGCCAGCTGAACATAGCTAGAGAGATGAAAGACCGAGCCCTGGAGAGTGATGCAGCCTGTGGCCTGGGGGGCGTCTACCAGCAGATGGGCGAGTATGATACAGCCCTGCAGTACCACCAGCTTGATCTGCAGATAGCTGAGGAGACCAACAACCCCACATGCCAGGGGCGGGCCTATGGGAACCTGGGCCTGACATATGAGTCCCTGGGCACCTTTGAAAGGGCTGTGGTCTATCAAGAACAGCACTTGAGCATCGCTGCACAGATGAACGACTTAGTGGCCAAGACAGTGTCCTATAGTAGCCTTGGAAGGACTCACCATGCCTTGCAGAACTATTCCCAGGCGGTCATGTACTTACAGGAAGGTAGGTGGAAAGACCTGCTGCAGTATCTTGGTCTACTCAAGAATTGGGGACAAATACACAATTTAAGTGGCCATCTCAGTATAGAATGAGGGTCTCAAAGACCACATTGTCACTTCAACTTCAGAATCACAGTTCTCCTTGTCAGGTATCTATAGGTAGAGCTAAAGTGTTTGAGTTTTCCATAATACCTTACCTACCTCTCTGGACCCAGGTCATCTTCCTCAATGACAGCATCTACTGTTAATGGCTGCCCAAGGAACTGATAACCCTCTTTGCTTTTTAGAACCCTTAACTGAGTGAACAACACACCTCATATAGGCTGAATCAAGTAAGACCTAATCATTGTAAGGGTCTAAATCAAAGGAACATGGTCATCTTTTCCAAGTTCTGTTGTCTGCATAGGCAGTTTCTAAACTGGATCAAAATTGTATAGACAGCCAGGCATAGTAGCACACACCTGTAATCCCAGCACTCAGGAGGCTGAGTAAGAGGATTGCTGTGAGTTCAAGACCAGCCTGGGCTATAAAGTGAGCTCAAGGCCAGTCTGAACTGCATAGTGAGACCCTGACTCATGAAGACAAACAAAGAACCCACAGTATAGACATCACTTCTGACACAACAGCTGAGGTCTAACCCAGAAGCATCCATCTGAGAGTCATTTGTGTATTCAACCCTGGTTCTTTCCCAAGGCTTATTACCTACACTACTGGGTAGGTGCCATGGTAAAGTCTTGTTCCAAGCAGGCTGGCATCTGGTTACTTCTCCTCCTCATCCATCAGATTCCATCATGTTTTGCCATCAAGTTCCATCAATTATCTGCACAGTTGGTCCTTGGATGCTTCCCTTCTTCTGAAGCAGAAGTGTCACAGCAGTGTGCCTGCCCTCCACCTCTTTACATGGGCCTTGGCCTCCCAGAGCCCTCCTCAGGCACACTAGATCCCTCCAGCTGAGAGGACAGACGGCAGCCTTGCTATTCTCCACTCACTAGGACAAGGACATGGTTACTGATTTCAAGAAAAAAAACCCAACTTACAGTTTCCAAAGGGTTTTACATATATAATTTATTTAATCTAATTTAATACTTAAACTAACCTTGAAAGGTGTATTTTTCTTTTCTTTTTTGAGATAGGATCTTGCTTTGCTTTGTTGGGCAGGATGACCTTGAATTCACTATGTAGCCCAGGCTAGCCTCCAATTTGCAGCAGTCCTCCTGCTTCGGCCTCCCGAGTGCTGTGATTTCATGAGAAATACATCTTTTTATTCCCATTTTTGCAACTTAGTTTCCTGAAGGTCAGAGAAGTATAACATTAGTCAGGTTCCGATTGTTTACTGAAGGTGTGGCTGATTAGTCAGACTGGGTCTCAAGTGGGTGTTCTGACCCCAGAAATCAGAGGAGACCCTGTGTGAAGTTCCTCACAACCTCACAAGAACAGATCCCCCATTACTCCTCAGTCCCACCTGGGAAGGCAAGTAGAAAATTGATGCGGGCCTGATGGTTGACTGTTCTCTGTGCAGACCGGGCATGGCACCAGCCCATGAGCCCAGAAGTCCAGAGACCCTGCAAGCCACTGTCTAGGCCTTGTTTGGTTCCCACTGTGTACTTGGGGCTCAGCCTTAACGCATTGAATATGACTGGTGGCTTTGGGTTTCCTGAAACTTGACTCCAGTAAAATTCCAACAACCTATGGATGATTTTCATTAAGTTTGTGAAAAGCAGTAAATTCTGACCCAGCATCTGACTACTTTTCTGCCTCTGAAATAGTGTTTGCATGCACCAGCCAGTTGTCTGAGACATTGTAACATAATTCAATATTTATGAAAAAAAATCCTCCAGTTCATTTTTGTTTCTTATAGTTTTTAAGTCTTATAGCATCTGCATAGTGTTTATCTTGTGGTAAGATCCTGCCGCCAATGCCTTATGTTCCTCACTGACCAAGTGTGTTTTCTTGTGAGCTATGACCAGGCAAAGGACACTTGGAAGGTGCTCTCTGAGTGCTCTAAGTTGGATGCACCACAGCTTGCAGTGGAGGGAATGGTTCCACTAGAAATCGCCTTGGCACTCTCTCCTGGCTCCAGAGAGGAGCAGCTGCTGAACCATACCCTTTGCCTATGCATGGAATCTCATGGGAGAAGTTGGTCAGACCCCTTTGAATAAGCTTTCTGAGTAAAACGAATGGATGCCTCTGGCTAAAGACCCTGGTTTTGCCCAGTTCTCATTTTTCAAATAAAGAAAGGGAGACTGGAACACTTTAATGATTTACCTGAGGTTTTGCAACTAGCCTGGGAGACCAGGCTGGGTGAGTCAGATTCCTACAGGCAAGGCCAGAGAGATGCTACAGAAATGAGATGCCGTGTCCACACTGAGCCTCTGCCTAGTGCCCAGCTGATGTTTTACATGTTGGGAATACAGCAGCAGCCAAGCAAAGTGCCTGTGCTCATAGTACTTGCCTGCTAAGGAAGGTTTTCCCCATGGTTTTTATTTCTGACTTATAAACCTAGATCTGGAAGGAATGTCTACATTAAAAACTCCATCTTGTTAGTTTGTTAAAGATTAATCTTTTAGTTTTCTCTCAAGAGTTATCATCCTTTGTGTTTTTTCTTATTCTATGAGGTGTTAGAAAGGGTGACTTGTTTGCAAGTTCTTGTGTTACCCAAGGACACAATTTAAACTTAAGATGCTGTTTTTAAGTTTCCTGAGTTACATGCATTTTAAAATGAATATTTTATGAGCTTGAACCTGAGCGTCACTCTTGCTAGCCTCTCAACTGACTCAGTTCCTTTTCAAAATGGACTACACAGGCCCAGCACGCTCAGGGATAGCTCCCAGGCCCCTGACTTAGATCAGAAGGAACTCTTCTTGTGTTGTGTGCCTTTGTGCTGGCTGACTTCTGAGCAAACTTACTTCTCTATACAGACAGCAGGATAATGAGAGTAGAGTGTTTCCAAGAACAGATTAGTGACCAGTACAATAAGTGGTTGCCTCTGCTTTAACTCCTACAAAGCCCTGGAGGCTGCTGGTGTCCTAAAACCCAGAAGCTTGCCGTGGGTAAGTGACCCAAACTGCAGGTTTCTATCTGAAGGCCATTAAAATGAGGGCAGTTTCACTTACGGCTTTCAGCTCCTAATAGCTCTTGTTTTGTAACCCGGCTGAGGTGCATCAAAGTCCAAGCTTACAGGAAAAGCAAATGGGGCATGCAGCAGCACCAACAGCAGCAGAATCAGCTGCATGCATGTTCTGCTTTCAGAAGAACATCACGTGTCATCTATCAGCACTGATCAGGTTCTGTGAAGTGAGACAGGAAGAAGTGCTATCTCAGCTTCTGTACTTGACTGCCAGGAAAAACTTTGGCCAACCAAAGAGTAGGCATAGATAAATTTATCAGCCAGCAGTTTTCATTTGCAAAGCTAAGGGTTTCATATCTAGGAGGGCAACGGGTTAGGGTCCATTTGTTTTAGTGTTTCCACCTGCTCTGCAAACCTGTCTCCTGGTGACAGCCATCACCTAAGCTCTCTCTGGGACATCCCTGAGTGTTCTGGAAATGTGGCTACCACTGTGGGGTTTGCAAAGATGCCTGTGTTGCCTTGGCTAATTTGGCTCTCATCCTGCTGTCTCCCTAGCTGGGTTGTTAACGTTCTTTACATATGCCTGAAGTGAACTCACCTTCTAGGACTCATCACCAGAGTGGAATTCTTTGTCTCCTGTTTCTTTACAATTCTGTCTGGTTTCAGGATTAAGGCTAGCTGAGCAGCTAGGCCGAAGAGAAGATGAAGCAAAAATTCGCCATGGGCTTGGCCTGTCCCTTTGGGCAAGTGGGAACCTGGAGGAGGCCCAGCACCAGGTGAGGATGAGGACCCTGGCCCAAAGGTCGTCTGTTTCCAGAAGTGTGAAAGACCTTGGGATGACAGTCTCAGTAGTGATGACATTTGCAAGACGTGCTGACCTCTTCCTATGGGTTGACACACAGGATTTCCAGCCTGCACTTACTCAGAAGTATTGAGCTTTCATTAAAGATTTTTGCTCACTAATGTGATAGATTGCTCAATAATGTCTCTGGAATTCTTATATTATAAGCTGCTGCTCCACATTAAACTTTACTATGAAATCATATTCTTCATATAACAGAGGTAAAACAAAAATACATAATTTTTGGATTGAATGTCTTGGTAGATGTCTGCTATAACAAAAGGTACAGCTTTTCTCTCCTCCTCCCTCCCAATGTGTGTGTGCTGCTGCATGCATAGAAAGAGCTGAAGCACAGTCTCTTGTTATCCAGCCCCAGAGCTTGGGAAGATCCCAGAGTTACAGGCGTCTTCTGTCAGGTTGGAGGAGGAGGACAGTGGCTGCTCACTCATCTCGTATTGAGTGATCACTGTAGACCAGAGGCTAGGTGGACAGGGGAGGAGAACACCCTGGGGCTCCTCCCTGGAGGTGCTCACAAGCATTGAGGACATGATGCAACTGAATTGTCCCTTAGCATCCTGGAATGTCAGGATATTTTTTATACTCTTAAAACTAGTAAAGTCAATTTAAATAATTATGTAATTTTCTGGTTATAAAAATTAAAACATGTGCAGTGTAACCACTAAACATGGTTTTTAAAATATTACAGTAAAAGATACATTGTTATCAGTCCCTTTCAGAACACTCCCTCTTGCTTTGCAGAGACCTGTCTCACTGTCCGTGCCATTTTCTGCAGTTCCACGTGTCCTCTTCTGTCAGCAGCTTTAATTGTATCAGCATGGCTGCCTCAATGTCCTGAGTTAATTGCAAATGTATATTTCTGTTATGGCTTTGTCTAGATGTCCACCCAAAGCCTCATGTAGTCATAGGCTTCTTTCCAAGGTGGCTGAGTCTAGTTTGTGCTGCTGGGTTTAAGGGTGTGTGATTGCTAAATCAGTTCACTGATTGATTTGGCACTGCCCTAATCCCAGCAGTGTGGTTACGAGACAGAAAGAGTCTTGTCTCACTGCTTCACTACTTTCTGCCCTCCATGACTGTTCTCTGCTAAACCACACTGCCTTGGAGCCAGCTGAGTATGGACTGAAACCTTTGCAAACTGGGAGCCAAATAACACTTCCCTCTTTTAACTTTGGGTGTCAGGTATTTTCTCTCAGCAACAAGAAAAAGGAGACTAAGACACCTTTCATGGTGAACTTGACTTTTGAGAGGAAGCAGAAGTCACATGGTGCAAGATCCACTAAATAAGGTGGATGAGGATGCACTGTAATGTTTTTAGGAGGCTCCCTTTCTGTAGATGGTACTCAGCAGCAGTATTTACCCTATTTTGATTTGTTTAAAAGACACCATGAAAAAGGACTTATAGAACTTCTTCAGAAGATGACAGGAATAAATGTGTTTGAGCAAGGGAGAACATTTGAGGGGCATTAATGACAATGTGTCTTTTATTATAATTTTTAAAATTTAAACATACATCGCATGTCTCAGTCTCCTCCTGTATATTGGCGTACTGACATACAAATTTTACTCATACCTCAGAATGCTCTGTGAAATTGTGTGATAGCAACCTCTTCCATGGAAGCGAAGAAACAAGACTAAGTCTTGCCAAAAATCTCATGGCAAATTAGTGGCTGAGTTAGGAGCACATTCCTATCCCTGAGCTTTCTCCTAGCCAGAGTGTTGTAGTCTCAGATTTCTGGGCTTTCTATGTTTGTAACTTAGAGCAGCAGGACAGGGTCTCTGTTAGGACTGCCACCCCTCTGCCCAATCCTCCAGGTATCCATGTCACAACAGCTCCTTAGGAAGTGTGTCCACCAAAGGCCTGGCCCTGCGCAGAACAGTGGCAGCTGGGCTTCACAGTGCGGGAGTGCCAGCAGCCAAGTGTCCATATTCGTATTGTGACCTAGTCTATCTCCAGTATGCCTCGGTCACACCTGTCCCCCTCTTGTTCTTACCTTATCTTTCCACATTCTGAGGCCTCGTGGTAATGGATGATAGTCAACTGATGACAAGAGGAAAGCTTTTTGTTTTAAACAGACTCAGTACTTGTTAGCCAAGTGAGGGGGCACAAATTTCTAATCCCAGCTACTTGGGAGGCTGAGGCAGGAGGATAAATTCAAGGCCAACCTGGGCAGCCTAGTGAGACCCTGTCTCAAAATAAAAATGACATGGTTGTAGCTCGGTGGAGCACTTGCCTTACAAGGGCAAAGTCTGGGTTCCATTGCCAGCAATACAAAGAAAAATAAAGCCCTTGTTTGTATCATTAGCTAATTTGGAAAAATACCCTTCGGACTGTAAATCTATACCCGTAGTCTTTAGCTCCTCTTATCAGTCAACAAAAATTGATTGCATAAGCTATAATTCACTGGAATGATGAGATATCCCTTCAGATCCACAAGGCCCACCTGGGAAAAAGCTCTTCTTTTCAAACCTAAAAAAAAAAAATGCTTAGGTCGTGCACTAAGGTACGAGAAAAAAGTTATCTCTAGTGTTAATCAGCTGGTTCTTGTTTTGGGAAATAGTCATATTCTCTGTCTCTGCTTGCAGCTCTACAGGGCATCAGCCTTGTTTGAAACAATCCGGCACGAGGTACAACTGAGCACAGACTACAAACTCTCCCTCTTTGACCTGCAGACCTCATCCTACCAGGCCTTGCAGCGGGTGCTTGTCAGCCTGGGTGAGAGCCTTCCGGGTTCCTGCACTTGTGTGTGTGTGTGGTGGGGGGGTCTGCATGCACAGGCTGTGGTGAAGTATGGCTTGTTGTCACAGCAGTTATAAAGTCACAATCATCTGTTGAAAATCTCTTCATTTATTCAAGGGAAGATTGGTAGGGTACCTACTGTGTGCTGAGGATTGGCCCCAGGGTATGTAGATAAGATAGTCTTTGCCTATCAATAGATGAGTCAGTGAGTCCAGTGTGATCAGAGACACTCAGATGCCAGGAAGTAAAGCAGTTGGGCCCATGGACTAGCCAGAAGCCAGAGCCCGGTGTCCCCCACCCCCAACACACACAGTTCTCGGCTCCACTAACACTTGGTGCAAGCCTCTGACCATGCACCAGACCCCAAGAAGATATTTAGCCTCTTCTGTTTCTCAGCCACACCTCCTCTGATGTTGCCTTTGAGAAAAGGCCTGTACCCTCTGGATATGTGCCCTGGACTGTAACATACGCAGGCAGGGGTCCTTCTTCCAGGTCAGCATGCTCCACGTTACTGGGAAGCCTGCAGTCTCCCTCCCTTACCTTGGCTTAACTGTCACCTGCGTCTTCCCAAGGTATTCGCACTCAGTCTTTCCAGTTGGATGCTGAGGCCTTTTCAATAACATATAATTTGCTGTATGTATAGGAATACTCAAGTTTCCCCTTGAAGAATTAAATGTATTCATTTCCTGGGATTATAATTTATTATCTATTATAATCACAGTGTTACATTTGTCTAGCACTTTGGGACCAATTTTCCAATGTGCACAGAAATTGTCCCTGCTGTTCCAGTTAATAACTTAATAGAGTAAAATCATACATTTACATACCCTCCCAGAAATCCTCCGTCTGCGGATGCTGGAACGCAGGAAGCAAGTCAGTCTGAATTCGTCAGATCTCTGGAGTCTGTTTTCCTGCCTCTGCCTGCTCTCTTCAGGGCTTAGTTCTAGCAACTCTTCTGTATTTATATTTATGATGTACATCAATCCTCTGCACTGCCCTCATTCAGCACTTACAAAAACATTCCCCACTTTGGCTTTCTTTTTTGTGTGTTTTCACATCAGTATGCCAGTTTTTAAACTGGATTATAACTAGCTACTTAGAAGACCCGGGCGTAGAATTTGGAGAGAAAGGTAGAAGAAAAGCTTGAGAGAAAGAAAGTTTTTGTTTATTTATTCGGGTTTTTGTTTTTTGTTTTTTGTTTTGTTTTTTTTTAAGACAGGGCTTCACTATATAATTCAGGCTGAACTCACAGCAATCCTCTGCCTCAGCCTCCTGAGTGCTGAGATTACAGGCATGTGCCGCCACACCCAGCTAAGAATTTTTAAAGGAATAGCAACTCTGCCCTGAGGTTTAAAACATGACGAAGTATGTGGGAGCCCAGAATGAAATGAGTAAGGGTTCTAACAGCAATGGCGCCACCTGTCTACAGGTGGTGCTCAGATAACACCTGCCAGGCATATTGGTGTAGAGTGCTCACCTAATCTTTGCAGTAGTCCTTGAAAGTAGATGGGACAGCTATTACGCTTCCTCTTTTTTTCAGACAATGGCAGTGAAAAGAGAAACACACCCAACAGAGGCACAGGCATGTGTAAAGACTTGGAGGCATAATTTGGGAGAAGGGTCTACATGTAGTGGAGCGAGGGAAAGATCAGGAGATAGTTCTCACAAATTTCATATGGTAACCCCAAGTCAGCAAGTAAATGAAAAAGTACTCAGAGCACCAAGCACTAGGTCCAGACAGCTAAATTAATCAGGTAGGAGTCCAGAGCCAGGTTCAGGGTAGTTGGGGATGTGGAACAGAGGATAGGCAGGGCTGGGCACGGTGCTCTGAGCTAGGCTGGCTCTTGTGCTGGTTGCAAGACAGAGGAAGGCCAGGTGACTTAGGTGGCATCAGATCAGTCTGGCTGGATCCAGTCACCTGAGGTTCTAGGAGTGGACCCTGTACCCACCGTCAGAGGCAGGGAGGTTGACATGAACAGTGAGATTGTAACCTGTCACATATTGCAAGCAGAGGCTGTGAGGCTTTACCCAAAATCTGATAGCCATACTCCATGGCCCTCTGGGAATGGGCATGCTGGCAGTGCACCCCTTCAGCCTGTACTTTTGTCCCCTAGGTCACCTTGATGAAGCCCTGGCTGTGGCAGAAAGAGGTCGGACAAGGGCATTCGCAGACCTGCTGGTGGAACGACAAACAGGACAACAGGACTCGGACCCCTACTCCCCAGTGACCATTGATCAGATCTTAGAGATGGTTAATGGGCAGCGAGGACTCGTGCTTTACTATTCCTTGGCTGCAGGATACCTGTATAGCTGGCTGCTGGCTCCTGGGGCAGGTGAGATCTCTGTGGAAACTGGGCAATGAAGACACAGTCCCTAAGAAGATGCAGTGGTGGGCAGGGGAACAGGCATGCCTTCGGAGATCGGATGCAGGAGCTGATGCCAGATTCCAGGAAACCTCGGCCATGGGGGAGCATTCAGTTAGCAAGACACCCCCACTTTCTCCTTCCCCCAAGAAATTGTTGCTCTTTGCCAGCAAATGTGAGAGCATTTGTCAGGGAAGAGTAAGAACAGGAGGATTAATTTCACTCGCCACCCTGTTTGTAGGCAGCTGTTGCTCATTAGCTAATAAAGTGAAGACTGCAAGACTTAATGAGTTCTTTCTAGATATGATTTAATAATTGTGATCTTTTGTCATGGTAAAGTTAAAGGGACTAAAATGATAATGGCACCTCTTACTATTTATAAATAAATTTTAAGCTTGAAATTTCTGATTTTCATAGAGCTAATTTTTTTTTTTTACTAGTTCCGTAGAAAATCAGTTTTCGAAGTAAAAAATCTCCTTTGATTAAATCGGCGTTAAATGTTCAGGATGTAACAGTTTTACTGAATACAGAACCACTAATTGGCTGTTAGGGCCATATTTTTTGCATAATAAAATGCTGATGGCTTTACCATGTTGGAGACATACCAGATCCAATTAGAGTTTATTGACTGGGGAAGTAGATCTTATAATTGGGAATTTTGAAGAATGGGCTTCTTGAATATCTGTAAAAAGTTCAACTGCCAGGGAGGATTGACAAGATTTTCTTGATTATGTTTCTTTCCCTTTGATTTAAAAAATAAAATGATGGCTGCGTGACAGCTCCCAGATGCTTCTTGGGTTCTGATCCCTTGTGCCTGTATGATCCATGTCTCAGTATTATTGTTTATAATCTTTGCCCTTTAATTCCATGTTTTCATATGCTTCTTATTGCTGACCTTTTTATGCTGAAAGTTTTAAGTTGCGGCTTTCATGGTGACCTAGTGAGTAAGTGTCAGCCCCTGTGGAGCCCCCACGCCCAGAGGGGCATCAGCACGCGGGAGGTACTCCAGGTTGACAACTGGAGGATGTCAAGCGCTCTCTCTCTCGTGGTTGTTACATCTTGGGGACATGATTTGACAGGTGGTGCATCCAGATCCCTGTAATAATGAGCCTTGTGTAATGAGGCTGCTATTGTTTCTTTTTTTTGTTCCTCTTTGCTCTTAATGAGACTCTGAAGGTTTCGCTGGAGTCTCTAATCCAATCAGAGAGGGACAGCGTTTTCCAAGGCTGACATACCTCATTACTGTTTGAGAATATGTCCTATGTTTATTGCCAGAAAACCACCGTGGATTGCCTGTGTTTCACAGGGCCATCATTTTTTGCTCTTTTAATCTATTAATGATCATTGACCAGTTGGTCTTATTTAAAAATGACTTAAAATGTTGTATTTGGCCCTTATGCTACATGTTTGTTTTGATTTGCTTTTATGAAATGAAATGTCTTTTGTCACACAATTTTTACCTGGCTTTTTTTGGGGGAGGGTGGCATTCTGGGACTTCAGCCCACCCAGGCATGTTCATGCATGGATTCTGAAAAGAGAATTCTCTGGCTAGTGCTTCTGAAAGGCATCAGTTTGGAACCACATAGGAAGTAGTCCTAATTCCAAAAGCTTCAGAAACAAAAGCTGTATCTTCAATTCCCTGACTTCAGGCACCAAACCTAATGGGAAAGGCTGTAAAAAGGGCCGACCTGAAGTTAAAAAGCCCTCCTGGGGGTCTTCGGGCTGCACTTTCCTCACAGGGCACGCTTGGCAAAGAAGTTACATAGCATCAGCATTCCCGTACCCTGATTTCCAGCTTTCTTGCTGCCATCCAACCATGTTTGACCCTGGCTGTGCCTGTCTTCTTTCAGGCATCCTGAAGTTCCATGAGTACTACCTGGGTGACAGTGCAGTGGAGAGCTCCGGTGACTTCCAGGCTGGGAGCAGTGCCATGCTGCCAACAGCAACCAGCTCAGTCCTGGAGCAGCACATCGCCAGTGTGCGCGAGGCCCTGGGTGTGGAGTCTTACTATACCAGGTAAGGAGCCACTTCACTCAAACGTCAAGGTTATTCTTTTATAAACATCCTACTTAAACTAGTAGAAGAAATTCTGTGGCAGTCCCTCTTTGATGCTAAGCTGATTCTCAGTTGCTGCAGCAGATACTAGTATGTCTTTGTGGTGTGCAAGCGCTTGGTAGATTGTGTGTCGTTGGTAACTTTCTTTTAAATAGAAAGGTCTTCATCCACGATGGCCATTCCCTAAGCAGGATGCATGACTGTTTAAGCATAAACATGATTTTAAACATAGTATACCAAATAATTACCAAATAATTAAAAGAGACTACTTTTTATTGTTGTTGTTGTTGTTGTTATGAGCAGATTATAGTGAGTTTTTATTATAGCTCACTGCCTGCTGATGAGTCATCAAGCACCACTGACAATATCTGTGTATGGATCTGTGGTTGTGGGCTGAGGTGGAGGGAATGAACTCCTAAATATCAGAAACAGAGAGGGAACTGCTTTCTGTGAAGTCTGTGAAAGGTGAAAGTTTATGAGAACGTCATATCCTAGCGACTATGCAGTATTACATCTGCAGAATACTTACAGCAAACACCCTGCTTCACAGGAAGATTGTCTGCTAATGTGCTGTAGGGCTGGATGTAGCCAGCTTTCAGGCATCTCAGTCCTCCAGTTGCTGCAGCCAAACATCAAGAAGATCCAGTGTCAGAGAGTCTACTGTTTGCTGCTATTGGGTCCAAAGAACAAACCTCTGCGTGTCTTTGTATGGTTTCATCCATAGTGGTGAAAGGCCAGAGCTCTCTGTATGATTCCTAGAAACATACTTCACCCAGAATCCACATGTCTGGTGGCTATTTCCAGTAGTTGGGCTAGTCTTTGGGGTACTGGTGCAGTGGGGAAGAAGTTATTAGGTTAAGAAATGATGACTGGATAATGTGATAACAAAATTGGAAGAGACTGGTCAGCGGATCCAATCCCTTCATCCTAGAGAAGCCTGTAGCACGTGACATAGGACTCACTGTCAGCCACACTGGTGTCAGAGCCAGGTTCAAAACAGTCTTGAGCATACCCAGACTTCCAGGCCAGTGCTTGTTTTGCTTTTAATTAGCAAAATTAATATTGTATTGTAAGAATATGAATGTACCCAAAGAATGTAACTTTCAACCTTCTGTATTTATGAAGTATCAAGAGGCTTCAGCCACATGTCCACACTTCTGTCTTTCTCCTGTGGCTCTGGTGCATCCTGAATCAGTGATATGGTTGTTATGAAGTTGAGGGTGTGGTGACCCCTGAGAATTTGGTGGTAGAGCCATTCTCTGAAATTGAAATCACAGGAACTATTTGCTAAGTTAGACCAGTGGTGTCCCAAGATGCAGCAGTAAATAAAAGGCCCTGGGCCCCTATGGCCAGACTCACCTAGCCAAAGGCATTTAGTGTTTGAAGCAACAGCCTGAGGGCAGTAGCTGGGCAGCAATGGAAACACAAAGGAGTGGCAGTAAGCAGGGCAGATTTGGGCTTTACCCACATCTGAGGCTACTGCAGGGCGAGAGAGTCTTGGCTTGGGGGATGGAGTCCCATTGACAGGGCTGTTCCTTCGGTGAACATGTGTCTTCACATTCTCATCCCTCACCCCTACAAGGCCTAGAAGGCTCACCTGCACAACATATGCTGCTAGACAGTAAATGGCAGAGTACTGTATATAAAATGTTTAGTTAAAATTATAATGGATACTGAAGTGAAAACACAGGATGTAATGAGAATGTGCAAGCAAGGAGGGGTGGGAAACATGCCTGTTTGTGTAGTGTTTCCTGGCAGGGGACAGTGCCTGTGCTGGGCCCTGGGGCTGATGCTAAGCACACTGCTAAGGGCCAGCCCAAGCGTCACGCAGAGGCTCAGGTACTTTTGGTGGAAGAAGCCTCTCAGGTGCTTCTAGTTCAGTCCCATGCTTTCTCCCAACCTTCCTGGTGATCTTTTGGTTCTGCACATAAACACTTACTGGTAGAAAATGTGAGAATTACCATTCTGATATGTACAAATTTCATCATGAAGTTCTGTTGCTTAAAGGCAAAGTCTCTTTAGGCATATTTGCGAAATAAGGCAGAGGTTTGAATTTAGAAGACCTCAATTCAGAGTTCGAACTAAGTCATGAGGGCCCCCAGGTATGCAGATCCTGCCACTGAAACCCCTGTGTATGTGAAGGTGGTTTCTGTGTGCCCTCTCCCTCATGGTGGCCTTCATGGCATCTAGTCCAAAGAAAACACTGGTGAGACACAGCCCACGTGAAAGCACAGAGTTCGCTTGACACCAGTTGTCAGGTATTCAGATTAAAATTCACCATGAAAAGGAAGAGGATTTTCCTCTGACTTACTCTTCCCAAATTGTCTTCTTGCTGGGCACTATCCTAGGGCTCACTCTGAACACACCTAAGCAGCTCTTTCTCTGTGGAACTCCTGGAGGCTGCCAAATTCTGTTTCCAGACACCTTTTCATCTGAAGAGTGGATTTGGGATTATATTTTATATTTTATATTTCATCTTCAATAGTGGGGGAAGACTGGGCGTGGTGGCACACACCTGTAATCCCAGCTCTTGGGAGGCTGTAAACAGGCAGATCACTACGAGTCCGATCTAACAGAAAGACCCTGTAGACCCTTCCCTAAAATACAAAAGAATAAATAAATTTAAGAAAAAATCGCAGGGGGGAAAGGAAAGGTAGGGTCATATACTTGGGTTTGCTCCTCACTACAACCAGAAAGCTGCCAAATTTAACTAAGTCCTTGACACATGGTGTGAATCGATGTTCAGCCTGGTGTGGTGGGGCTGCTCTCCATAGCTTAGAGCCCACCCTGTGCTGCCAGAAATGAGGTCCCAGGCCTCCTCTTATTGCTTTGAAGTAGTCGTCAACAAAATTTGTTGATATTTCATTTTCTTGATTATTATATTAAAGTAGAACATCATATTTATGTGACTTGAATATACTGGAATGGCGATTTTGTGCAACTCTGGTTTCTACCTCTCAGTTTTATGAAAGTAGTAAAAAAAAAGAAAAGAAAAACAACTATGGTATACTATTTTTCATCTATATAATTAGCAAATATTTTAAAAGCTTTGTTGCTTGATGATAGGAAGGATGCAGAGAATAAGCTGGCTAACTCCCTAGGAATAGGAATTGGTTTAAACTTTCTAAAAACAGTTTTTGAATCATGTCAAAAACTTTTTAAAAATATTCATTCCTCTTGATCCCAGAAATCTCCACTTGAGAAATGGGGCAAACATGCATACTTAGGAGCATTTTATATGAGTCTATATACTATTGTAGAATTAATAGAAAACTACCTTAAAGAGATTATAAAGCTCCTAAAAGAAAATGTAGGAGAAAAGCTTCAGTAACATTGAATTTGATACTAATTTCATGCACATGATACCAAACCACTGACAACAAATGAAACAAATGTACAAAGAAGACTATGTCAAACTTAAAGACTCCTGTGTAGTGAAGGGAAAGACAGACTAAAGGAAGCCTCCAAAATGGGAGAAAATATTTGCAAGCCTTATTATATCTGATAAGGGTTAATATCTAGAATACATAAAAAGTTTCTACAATGCAGTAACACCAGAAAACACAATCTAATCACAAAAAGGACAAAGGGCTTCAATGAACATTTCTTCAGAGAGATATGCAAATGACCAACAAGCACAGGAAAAGATGCACAAGGACATCCTGATAATCAGGGAAATGTAAATCAAAGCCACAAGGAGAATGGCACCTTATCCATTAAAAAGGCCACCCTCAGAATGATAAAAACAGAAAATAACAGTTCTTGTTGAGGATGAGCACACAGTAAACCCATGTGCCTTGTTGGAATGTAAAATCAGGGGTGGGTATAGCTCAGTGGTAGAGTGCTTGTCTAGTATGTGCACCTCAATTCATGAATTCAATTTTCTCCACAATTCTGGTTACAAACCAAACTGGACAAGAACAGAATCAAATTTCCCTATAAGGTCAACATTGAATTGAATCATTGAATCATTGAATTTGATTTGGTTCTTGTCTCAGTTACTTTTCTCTCATTGCTGGGACAAAATACCCAACACCCAAAATTTAGGAAGGAAAGGTTTATTTAGCTCACCATTGGTGGAGGTGTCAATCCATATTTGGCTGTCTCCAAGGCAGAGTGGCACATGGTAGAAGGCAGCATGGAAGTGAAAAACAGCAAGGAGCAAAGGGAGGAGCAGGGGCTGCGGCAGCTAGCAAGCCTCTCTCTCTCTTCCCTATATTGTCTTCAGGCTGTCTACCTCAGGGTGGGTGTAGCACTCACACCCATAGTCCCAGCATTGGGTCATAAATTAATCACAAACTCTAGAAACCTGCCCCAGTGACTGCATGAGGCTTTG